TGGCTGCTGCTTCCCCTTGGCAGGCAGTGGCTTTTCCGCAGCCCTTCCCGTCTGGAAGGCGGATTCGAGTGCGTGGCGATGGCCGTCGGCGCCACACTGCTGCCTGTGCGCTCCTCTGCCGTCTGCTCGGTCCCAGCCCCTGCGCCCACTCCTTGGGGTCCGGCTGTGCTGTCCCTCCAGCTCTGAGAGGACGAGGGACAGTTGCATGTAGCAACATGGCTCTGGTCAGATTACAGGCAGCTCTGCCCCCATTTCACCTCCTCCGTTATTTAAGTAGTTATGGGTTATAATCTTTGAGGAAAATTGCTAAGTACTTTAAAGTTACTCAAGCATAGCTGGTGGGAATTGTCTAGTACTTTAGCTGACGCCTTTTCTTTTTGCTTCCTTTGTTGGGCTTCCCACCCCTCCGCACATTGCTGCCTTCTTTTAACCCCGGTAGTCCCCCGGCACTCAGCGGCCTCCGCCTGTGACGGGAGGAGGCTCCGTGAGTAGCAGAGCGGCCGCTCCTCCCTGGGCAGCTAGGCTTGCTCAGGCGGAGTAAGCTAGCGTGTCCTGCAAAGTTAAATCGGCTCTCACCAGACCTTCAGGCTTGGTCGAGCGGATCTGAGTTCTTGGCAGAGCTGACTGTGCGCAGGGGAAGACGCTGACTTTACTGAAGGAAACCGGTAGAGAGGTCTGACTGTGCTGGAAGCCGAGCTCGTGGCGCAGAGCACGAGGACCGACCTAGACTCTGCATCTGCTCACCTTTGGAAGGTGCTTCAGGTCCCCTAGAGCTTCGATCTGCTTCTCAGGACATTTGTGAGGTCTCCGTACTTTAGCTGCCGCACAGCGAGTCCAAGCTCACAGTGCGCGGGTCTGTGGGCCTCCGGCCCGGCCTTGCTGCTGGTCTGTGTCGCCCGTGTTCGTCTGCCCGGCGCTGGGCTCACAGAGCGCCCGTTGAGAGCAGTGAACTGCCCGTGTGCCCCTCGTCCTGTAGGTGCCTTCGCTGTGCTCTGCACTTTCAGGCCCAGGTAGTGGGCTGAGCCTGCTGGGTGGGTGCTGGGGGCAGGTGCAGCCGGGGATCCCTTGCCCCACCAGCTGTGTCAGTGAGGGCCTGTGAGCGTCAGTGTCTCAGGAATTGCTTTGCATACTGAAATCTCCTGAGAAGTAGGACCTCGAATCAGCCCATGCTGGGAATCCAGGCACCGGCGATGCTGGGAAGGACCCAGGAAAGGCATCAGGGTCAGGATCTTGGGCTTAGTCCCATCTGGTTATGGGTA